AAATGGGCCCAGGACAATGAAAAGGACCATGGAGTCAGTCGGTTGAGGTCAGAAAATTAAGCTTCAGGCCCAATGTGAAATCTGGACAGAATGGACAGCATGCAATGCTACCTGCGGAATGTGCGGAAAGACGATGCGTACGAGAAGCTGCGCTTCCGGGTGTAACTGCACGTGCGTAGTAATGAATTTTAGATTGCTAGAAGCGCGGAAAGTTACGCCTTAGGGCAGAAAACACCTCAAAAAAAAATTGATTTTAACCCTAATAAACCAACTAGATCCAGTCCAAAAGCCTACCTCATAAAATTTATAGCGGCGCCTCCGAGGAAACGTCCGATTGCCCGCCAAAAGTGTGTGCTTCGTCTGCTTCTCCATGCTGCAGCGGCTACGCAAAAGGCAGCGGTGCGAGCACGATTAGCTGCCAGCCAGTCGGCTAGAAAAAATGCGTTCCTGCGAGTAAACTGTTGTTAAATAAATACCTACAAAACAACTGATGTCTCCAAATTTTCTACAAGTCATTCCCTACAATAAAAAAGAGAGAAAAATCGGCTCCTCCGGTTACTAGCGAACTAATAACCGAAAACATCTATCCCTGTTGCCTGGATGCCAAAACCTTTAGGGAGAATAAGAATTCAGCCGCTATCCTTGAAAAGTCAAATGCAAGTTCTACACAATTTGGCTCTCTTTTTCACTATTTGCAGCGCAAGTACAGTATTCGAGCGTCAATACGGAGCACGGGAATCTCCGGATCCGGATACGCATTGCTTTGTGGACTGCCTGTCACAACCTAGCTGCTTGGGGATAAGTCACAAACTAGTTTTTTGTAGAAAGAAAATGCTAATCAGTTTAGCGAAAGATTGCGAACAGATCGCAGAGGCTGTGTCGCTATCATCCGACGAAAATTACGTCGTGAACCGCGAGTATTCGGGGTCGCTTGATGATTGTCGGGTGCTTCAGGTGCTTTTCTGTTTCTAAAAAAGCAAAAAATGGATTTATAAAGCGGCCACTGACTACCGAAGAAGCCCCAGCGACCACTGAGCTGCCAACGTCCCCGGTAACTCACCGTTATTAAAAGAGGCTTAGGCTTATCAGGCTCAACTTTTTACTATGATGTTAAAATATACAAAAAAAAATTACAAATTGCACACAATCAGTGTGTATCCTGCTCGGAGTGGGGAGAATGGTCCGAGTGGGGGCCCTGCAGTGACAATTGTGGAATGTGCGGCTACCAAACAAATGCGAGGTCTTGCTTGCCCGGATGTGAATGCTTGTAAGTATACTATACGTGACAACGTCCGCTTGACACCACTAGCGCTACAACTCTTTCAATATTTATTTCTTATTACATATTTTTCGATAATTATTTATTATTTTTGGGGACTACAGCATCGCGATTCCGTAGAGCATAAAAAAATATACTCAGAATTTCAATTCGAAATAAAAGCACAATAATTTAAAGTTACGACAAATGGCAAAACAACCCCGAAATGGGGGTTGGTAAGCTAATTTTCGCGAATACACTAAAAGTTTTATATCTCAAAATAATGTAGTTTAAGATAAGAGAAGCTATTTCCAAAAAAAAAGCTTGCCCCTCACCCCCCCTAACGAACCAGAACCCCAAATTTCCAGGGGAGTCAGTGAGGATTATCAGAGCTGCCCGGACAATGTCTGTACAGACCCTGGCGCCACCGTGTGCTGTCATCCCTATGTGAGAAAGCTCGACGCAACGCAAGGGATCTACACATGCCAATCGCGATAGATAGAGGAGTATGACGAAAGATGAAAAGTGTTCAATAAAGTTCTATAAAAAACATACCGTACCACGTACTTACGCAAGCGTAAAAAAATTTCCATGAATTGTCACTAAAATTAGCCAAGAGCTGCGTGAAATCTTGCGTCACCGGGTAACGTTTTCAACTCCAGCCTTTTTCCCAAAAGATACGAAAAATTAGGCAACTTTCCTACCCACAGCAACGTTGAGATGCTTTTTCTATTCCTATCATTAATTTTGTATGCAACGGCCCAGGACGTCCTCTACGTCTCCAAAACCGAGCTCATGAGCACGAATTGCTACGCGACGTGTCAAGAGACGGGCGCCAAATACGTGGTCTACTACCCGAACGATACCTGCCAATGCCTCGGCGTGCCCGACGATGTTACGGGGAGTGTCGTGGAGCTGAACCTGACCCAAGATTCCATAGTTCAAGGCAAACTGCGCAACAACAATGCCAGCAACTTCGCCAGGGACAGTGTTAGATTTGGGGCAAGTGTGTAATGCAGTAATAAGCGTACTTTTTTAGCCCTTACAAACTTCTGCGGTGGAAAAATTTATTGGCGTTACGTTTCCGGAAACTGTCGAGAGCGTCACACCGGGTTGGGGCGCCTGGACGACGGCTGTGCCGTGCAATGCACCGTTCAGATGCGGAATGTGCGGAACGATGACGCAGAACAGGACCTGTCTCGCCGAACCGTGCAAGTGAGCGTGGATAACTGCTGAAAGTTCTACTTTTCACAAACTACTCCATTTTTCAGAGGACTCGCGACGAGAACGCTGAAATGCCCGGTTTTCACGTGCACGTTGCCGCTGGACACTTGCTGTCGCGGCTACTCAAAGCAACTGAACATAAGGCTAAAAATCTACACGTGTCAGCTAGATGTCTAGCTCAAGCTAAGGTCCAAAAATTTCGCGATTACAGCGAACAATTTCCGAGCGCGAACCATCGTCGGATGTACGCATCGCTTCTCGGGCCCGACATCCCACTATACACACCTTGGCAGTTCTTGTTTTTCCAAAATTCGCATAGTCACTTTAATTCCAGGTCTCTAGTTAATTATTATTTTGCGCTTATAAGTGCATTTCATTCTGAATAAAGATTTTTGGGAGAGAATTACTTTAACCCACAACATTTGATTCTTTCGTCATTTTTGCTTTTTTGAGGGGCCAATCGATGGAGCGTCTCAAAAATACAGTAATAGTTGTTTTCAGCAGAAAATCATGGAATATAAAACGAGTTTGGGAAGGCAACCGCTGTCAGGGAAATCTTGAACCTACCCATCACCCGGCTTAATTTTCGAATTGGTAACCCGGCCACCAGCCGGCCCTGGATCTCCACTTCACGACTAACCACCTTTTCCACGCACAATGCTCAACATATTCTTGTTCTATATTTTGATAGCGGTTGGCGGCATGTATTTTCAACTCCAAACCGGTAGCAGTCCCTTCGATTGCCCGGTGGAAGTTTGGCAAAATTGTACGCAAAATTTGGAATGTCTGGGCGTCGGTGAGTTCTGGAGGCACGCTCCCGAAATCCGATTTTAGGGGCAGGTTGTGATACCTTCATGAAAATAGACGAAATTAACGAGGGTTATCTGATTTTTTCGAGATGAGCAGCCTGCAGATATCACAGACTGCAGGGAAATCCAGGTGACAACACAAACGGTAGGAGATATCAGTTTTTTAACTAGTAAAACTATCTAAAAACTTAAGTCGAAACTTTGGTCAAAAATCGGCCATTTTCGTGGAATATTTTTCATACTTTTTAATACAAATTTGTAAAGTTTTTACGTCTCCGTTCTTACGAAGAAAAAAACATTTACAAATACTTCCGCTAATCATTTTTGAAAAATCAGTCCCTGATAGAAAAAGTTTATCCTCCCCCGATAATGCGAAAGAACCTCAGCTTTTAATAGCTCACGAAGCTTCAATTTTGATGATTAGAAAAACTCTAGGCGAAAAGGTAGGTCGATTCCGCCGCTTCCGAGTCCAGCTAACCAGAAACTTTCGAGATTTCTCTTTTTGTAAAACTTGATTTAGACAACAATCGCGTGTTCTGCGCAATGGACGGAGTGGTCAGCAGTTTCCGCTTGCACCGCAAAATGCGGAATGTGTGGGAATCAAACGAGGACCCGACAATGTCAAAATCAGGCCGATGGCTGCGCCTGCACGTCGGTTTCCTTATAGACGAGCTCAAAAAATCGTATTTCAAAACTACGAAGCCTTCTTGGTTTAAAAAGAACAATTTTGTAGAGGCGCTGCAACGACTATTACCGCCTGCCCTATCCAGGTATGTATTTGGCCGCAGAATACTTGCTGCGACGGCTACGAAAAGATGCTTAACACAAGCTACAAGGCTTTTATATGTCAAGCAGTGATGTTCGAATAAAGTTAATACCTGTCGAAAATATTCAAAAAAATCGCCAAATCACTGTAAGAAATCTTGGAGCAATTTAAGTTGGAGGAGGAGCAAATTTTTTAGGCCCGGCCTAACTAGGGAGGTATCTGAACTCGGCATCGAACTTTGAAAAGTCAGATACACCATTCGACGCGCCTTGTCGAGGGGATTCCAAATATGTAATAAAATCAACCAGAGCCTATAACGTTAAAAAGTTATGAGCATTTTAAGTTTAGCAGCGAGAACCGGTGCGGCGATATGAGCCCCTCCCAGCGCACCCTGTCCATCGGCCCCGTGGCCTAGTGGTGTGCGCATGGGTCTCCGGTCTGTACGACCATGGTTCGGATCCCCTCACGATTTTTATTTTTTGCTTTTTGACCAGTTCCTACTTTTTTTGATTTCCAAACTCGGGAATAAGTTTTTCTTGACTGTGTGACCCCTAAAAGGCACCAGCGATGATAAAATAACCTCGGGCAACAAGACCAGGATTGGACGCTCTCTATATCAAAGTAGGCAAAATCATCAAAAACCGCCCTTTTAAGACTCTGTACGAATTCGAAGAATGTAATTTGTCGAAAACAGAACAGTACATCTTGATCATCAGAAAATTCTCTTTCGAATGCGCGATCTTACATAGGCTTTACGCAAAATTCTCGAAACGTCTTCGGCAAGCTGGCCATACCCTACCCTTACGCCGCATTCCAAAAATATTTTTTTACGGAAATTTTGGCAGCCGTATGTAACATAGCTCATTTGAAAGAGTTTTCTTTGTTGGATAAGGAGCACTAATCAGTTTAGGCTAAATTCCATTCCGCGGGATGATACAGGGTCTCAAAGATACTGTTTTTCACCATTTTGTCTATTTCGAATGCTTATAACTTTTTACGGTTATACGCTCTGGTTGTTTTTATTACATATTTGGAATCCCCTCGACAAGGCGCGTCGAATGGTGTATCTGACTTCTCAAGGTTCGATGCCGAGTTCAGATACCTCCCTAGTAAGTTGGTCTCCAAAGCTAAGCTAACCAGGCGAAGCTTAGCCTAAGCTTAACCTAATCCAAGCCCAAGCCCAAGCTAAACCTAAGCTAGGCCTAGGCTAAGCCAAAGCCTAGCTGAGTCTAAGCTACGCCTTCCCCCTTCACTTCAATAGCCCCGAAATCTTTCGCTTCGTTACCCTCAATTTTCCATCCATATCACCTTAAAAGCGTAAAATGCTTATTGCTCCTTTTTATTTTTTTATTGCTAATATAATGCCAGATATTTTCCACGTTAAGTCTGGCCTACATCTGTCAAAAAAAGTTATTTTTTTTATGTAATACACGGTTTTATAAAAGTTCTCAGTTGCTAAAAGGGCCGTTAATGGATCGAAGTACTATTAACGACGAGTATAAAATGACCGGAAGTAGACCTTAACCCACAAAATTTTCCACATGCTTCGGCAGAACTTCGTGGGAGTTCCGTTGATATATGTGCTGCGCGGCGCATCCAAACCACTTTTCCCAAATTTCGGCAATAATTTTTGGGCCCCTTCTATGTTTCTAAGCGGCCCGATTTTCTGGCAACCACGCTTTACTACCCACTAAATTTGGGGGAAATGTATTTGCTTACTTTTATTTTCTTTACTGTTTCTTGTGGATCATTTGGATTGATCACTGCCGAAGACGGGATTTACGTGTCGAGATCGGCCCTTTTCAACGCCGACTGCTACGAAGTTTGCGAAAAATCTGGTGCCGAATATGTTGCTTACTTTCCAAATAACACTTGTCAATGCTTGACTGTGCTGCAACACCTGGAGGGGAGTGTAACGGAAGATGTGCTTTTACAAGATGCGGATATCGGAACCTCGCTGGAGCGCGACATCACGAGCAACTACTTTCGAGATGATCAGGAATTTGGAGTGGGTAGGCTTACAATTAGCGCATCTGAAATCGAAAATTTCCGCGTCTTTTCCTTCCGGTTGCCAACTATTAGTCGCAAAACTTCAGTTTTTAGCCTCTGAAAATGTCGACAACAAAGAAGCTATTGGGAGTTACAAGCTCCTCCGATTATTCGACTACGTCCTCTAAAACGACGGAAAAGCCGACAACTACAACACTGTCCACAACAACAAACCCCAAAACTAGCACGGTAAGTCGCTAAAAAATCGAAATACCCCAGAACGGACTTCCAGAAGAGGAGATTGTCCATCTCCTCCTTCTGCTCGGGTGCTATTTTTAGTACTGTTTTTAGGCTCTGAAAACGTCGACATCGAAGAACCTTTTGGAAGTTACAAGCCCTTCTTATGATGCCAGTACGTCTGTTAAAACGACCGAAAAGATTACCACCACTACAAAACCGACAACCAAACCAAAAACTACCACCGTGAGTCGCTCAAAAATCGGGATACCCTATAAGCTGTTTCCAGAGATAGCAACACCCTTTAGAAAGCCTGCACAGCAAGCTGGGGAGCATGGGGAAGCTCGACCAAGTGTACAAAACAATGTGGAATGTGTGGGACGAAGACTCAGAAGCGAACCTGCAACGGGGAGAGCGCTGGTTGTACCTGCAGGTAGGCACATTTTTGTAAAACTACCAAACAAAATAAAAAGTAAGTAAGGTAGAGTGGCGGTTCGACGGTTCTACACATCGGGTGCGCCCCACGTAAAAAAAACACAAGATTTTCAGCGGCAAGGCTCAACAAACTGTCGACTGCCCGAACACTTTGTGCGGCTTTCCGGCGGACGCATGTTGCTCAGGCCATAAGAAAATTAAGGCTAACAAAACCTATATTTGCGCATAAATATAGTTCAATAAAGCTTATGTTGTTTATCTCGAAAGATCTCCAAGCGCTCGAGAATTTTAAATTTTTTTCATCCATCGATTCGCGATTCCTGATTTTTTTCCGTAGCTTTCCCTCTTTCTTGTTTCCCTATCTTCCTTGTCTCTCGGAAACCGAACTTAAAATTAAAATCTTTGACTCGTTATAATTTTTAGTATTTTGGCAATCTAACATTAATAATATTTTTACGTATATTTTTACTTTTTTAACGCAAACAAACGAAGAAAAAGTTGGGGCGAAACAGCCGGCCGCCGAGATGGGGGTGCACTCTTATCCTGCGCTCCATCGACCGTACACGCAAGGAAAAGAGGCACCTCGCCGCGGCGAATTTCGGCCCATTTCTCGATTTTCTCCCGCATCGCCGGCTGGTTTTTTGATCTCCCCTGATTTGGATTTTTCTTAAAGAGATGAGGACGGCATCTGTTGAACCCCCCTTGGGGAGGGGGGGTTCAACAGGTCCCAGCGCGACCGGCGGCGAGAGAGGGCGCCCAGGGGAGAGGCGCAGAGACATTTTCTTTCCCGCGCGTAATCGATTGTCTTATGCCGCCCCTATCTCTTTAATTTTTCCTTCTTTCTTCGACTAAATTTCCCTAAACTTGCATTCTTTCGCAGGTGCCCATTCTTTTCTTGCCTTTGGTTCAATGATTTCTTGATCACTTTAGCTACTTCCCTACAATTTATTTTTCCAGATAAACTCTCGTCATGGGTCGCATGCACAACCCCGGCAAGGGCATGGCCAAGTCGGCCCTCCCGTACCGCCGCTCCGTCCCGACATGGCTGAAGATGACCGGCGAGGACGTCGTCGAGCACATCTGCCGTTTGGCCAAGAAGGTTTGTTGAACATACCTGGAGGGTGTAAGGTCCGATTCCTTCCCCTACCACAGTTGTTCATTTCGGTAACGTTTTACCTGTTAGAGGGTTGGGTGCCCGTCGGGGCCACCCGCTTTGAATTTTACGTGCCCCTTTCTATATTCGCTTTTTCAGGGTCTTCGCCCGTCCCAGATCGGTGTCATCCTTCGTGACTCGCACGGAGTTGCCCAGGTCCGTCGCATCACCGGCAACAAGATAGTCAGGCTGCTCAAGGCGAAGGTATATTTTCATTCTCCGTCCTTTACTTTTGTTTAGGGCATGGCCCCCGAGATCCCGGAAGACCTGTACCACCTCGTCAAGAAGGCCGTCAACATCCGCAAGCACTTGGACCGTTGCCGCAAGGACCGTGACTCGAAGTACCGTCTCATCTTGGTCGAGTCCAGGATTCACCGATTGGCCCGCTACTACAAGACCGCCAAGATGCTCCCCCCGACCTGGAAGTACGAGAGCAGCACCGCCTCCGCCCTTATCTCTTAAAAATTTTTTCGGTTGCTAATTTGTTGTTGTTGATAAATGATTGGAAAAAGATTTTGACCGCAAATGCACTACATACGTTCTTGGCGTTAGATAAATTTTCACAAAGGGTCTTCTCGCGCTGCTTGTTGGTAGACATCTGGTCGTTCGTTTCGTTGGGCTCCTTTGTCCCTATGTAGCGTGTCCACGCTCAGGCAATGGCCGTTATGACTGGAAATTTATTTGAGCCGCTCTGTTCGGTAAACCTGCATTCAGGATGTCTGATTCGTCGTCGGAAGATGAGCATGAGGCTCTACCCCCTAAAATTAAAAACAAAGATTGCAGCTGAGGTTGGATTTTTTTAATCGAAAGTCAAAGCATCTCTTAGAGCATTGGAAACGATGCCGACGATGTAGAAGGCGGCCCGGAAGCATCTAAATCTTTCAAAGAATTGGTAATGGATTCGCTTTGGGCGTTGATATGGTTTTTAGGGTGTATCGGATGAGTTGGATGAGGCATGTACAAGGATGGGTTGGAAAACGCCTTCGAAGATTCAAACGCTTGCCTTACCTGCAGCACTGGCCGGTCGGGACGTGATTGGGTTGGCAGAGACTGGGTAAATTACTCTGGTTGATAGATTTCTTGTTTTTAGATCTGGAAAAACGGGCGCTTTTGCGATTCCGATTCTACAATCGTTGTTGGAGCACCCGCAGAAGCTCTATGCGCTTGTGCTGACGCCCACTCGAGAATTGGCCTTCCAAATCGCCAAGCAGTTCGAGGATTTGGGCACGAGAATCGGATTGTTAGTTGGTAAGCGAATCCTTTTGGCGTTTCATAGACACTTTTAGCCGTCATTGTCGGAGGCGTTGATATGGCCACGCAGGCGATCGCTCTCGCAAAGCTTCCCCACATCATTGTCGCCACACCGGGTCGCTTAGTTGATCACCTTGAAAATACTAAGGGTGAGCCCTAAATTTCGTGGTTATTATTCTTGCAGGATTTTCTTTGCGAGCCCTGAAATATTTGGTGATGGATGAAGCCGATCGAATTTTGAACCTCGATTTCGAAGAGGAGCTGGACAAGATTTTGAAAGTAATTCCGAGAGAACGACGGACATATTTGTTCTCGGCAACAATGACCAAAAAGGTTGGCTTTCTCTGGATTTCTTCATTGTTTTGTTTAGGTCGCAAAACTGGAGCGTGCTTCGTTGCGGGATCCTGTTCGTGTCGAGGTCAACTCGCGTTATAAGACGGTCGATACGTTGAAACAACACTATATCTTCATTCCCTTCAAGTATAAGGTGAGGAGCGTTTTTTCGATATATTCACCTACTTTAGGAAGCTTATCTCGTCTACATCCTAAACGAGCTGACGAGCAAGATCAAGTTGGCCGAACCGAAGCTGGCGATCATTTTCACGGGAACATGTCTACTGGCCGACACAATTACAAGAATGCTGCGGCAGCTGGGCATGGACGCGATTTCTTTGCACGGGCAGATGACGCAGGTATAGAAAAATTTTCAGCGTTTTTCACTGGTTTTTTTAGCAAAAGCGATTGGGTGCCCTCAACGCGTTCAAGACCAACTCACGCAACATCTTGGTCTGCACAGACGTCGCATCTCGAGGATTGGATATTCCCGGAGTCGACTTTGTCTTCAACTTCGATGTGCCCGGCCAAGCCAAGGACTACGTGCACAGGGTTGGACGTACTGCGCGTGCCGGAAGGTCCGGAATGGCCATCACCTTTGTCACACAGTACGATGTGACTATTTATCAGCGGATCGAGACGCATTTAGGTTTGTTGCTCTTTTGTTTGTACTGATCCCAAGATTCTTTTAGATAAAAAGCTCCCCGAATACCCTTGCGTCGAGAAGGAGGTGATGATGCTAGTCGAACGCACAGCAGAAGCTTTGAAGGCAGCAAAAGAGGAAATCAAAGAAGCCGAGGAGAGGAAGAAAAAGGGGAAACGGTCGGTCATCCTGCTCAATTCATTCCTACCTCTTTCTTTAGACATTTGGACGATTCGGATACCGAGGAGAATACGGATCGTTATCGCAAGAAGTTCAAGAATAAGGGCGCCAAGATTACCAACAAGCTTCGTTGATTTTTGTTCATGGTTTTTTTGTTGATTCGTAAATTGTTGAGTTTGCGTTGAATAAATCTTTGCCGAGATCTTCGTGAAGTTTTTCGTTTGTGGTTTCTAGCCATACAAATTCTGAATCATTACGAGAAATGAGAATTTCAACACAAAGTTACTGTGCCATCCCATAATGCCTAAAAATCTAATGTTGATTTAGAAACCCTTTCAAGGATTGAAGAGGGCCATGAGCACTCGCAGCCGGCCGGTTAGTGTAATCACACCTTCAATAATTTTCTTTAGCAGCGAGAAAACGGTGATGCGGGGCGGAAAAGTCTCATCGACGACACCTCAAAACGGTATTTTATTTCCTGATATCGTTTGACTTTTTTAGGTTTCAATCTCCACCGCGGCGCTTCGACAGCGACCGCTCAGCGTCCGAAAGGCCTTGGCGGCCGATGCCAGCCAACCAGATCCGGGACGGGATCATAGAAATAGATCCCATTTACGGCACGGTACAAACAATTTTGCAATCTCATACTTTTACAGCTCTTGCATGACATCCTCGTGCACGCCAGTCGCAAGACACACGTGCGGCTGCGTCTACTTTCAAGGGTGTCGGGTATACGCTAGTTTCGCATTACAATTAACCGAAAACTTAGATGCGACAATCCCCGAGAAGAATGGAATTTGCCTTCCGCCCGACATGGAGCCGTATCGTGACAGACTCCAACAATGCGACACGATCATTTATGGGCTGCCAAATGCCGTCTTTAGCGGAAGCGGCTTCGGCATTAAGTACGTTTCTATCGTTTCCTTGAATGTTAAAAGATGTTAATGTGTTAGTCTTTTCTTTGCAACAGTCTGACCCTACGAAGATGCAAGTAATTTGGCCATGCCAGAAGTGATCGGCCAGAAGCAGCAATGTGAAAGAAACGACCGCCGCGTCGCGGTGGGAATAAGTGAAACATAACTACCGCATAGACATCGGGGACATTATCGGCGCAGCTGGTAAAAGATGCCCCGCCGCCTGCATTAGGCATCACCGTAACGGAAGAAAGCAGTGTCGACATTGATACGTTCAAAGGCAATTTCGAAGGGCAACTAAGCAAAGCGCTTAGAATTCAGTAAAAGTAATTACACACGAAATAACAAATAACGCACCGCCGGTCACGACAACGCAATTCTCCCCCGCGAAATTCCAGCCTCCGTAGATTAATCAAACCGGCAGTACCACATTTTTCCTTTGCGAAAGCCAATCAGAAAAATGTTCCGTTAAGAACCCGGTTTGTCGGCATTAGTGTTTCTCAACACGAAACACCGAAAACATAAAAAAATCATTTCCGCACCCCCATGTTCTAAAAATCTCTCCAACGCATGCAATACGATGTGAAGATGACATAAAATTACCAAAAGAAATCATAAAGATGACGCACGAAGATACAATAAAAATTATTCCAACGCCGGCGGGCAGTAAAGTTAATATCTTCTTCAGCCGAGACCAAGCACGTGCCTCATCAGCCAAAGACCTCACAGACAAGTGTGGGAAGCTCAACATCTTCCCTATAAGCATGTTCGCCATCTACGCGCAGAATCCAGAGATTTCGGTAATAATTTTTTGTTATTTCACATTGCAAAATTGTGATGTTGTGTCGAAATTGCTTCTGACTAGGCGACCATTTTCAATTGGATTTTATTTGTGTTTTAGAAGAAGGAGTTGCCGTTTTTCGAGCAGTCCGTCGAAACGTTTTCAATTATTGCCGACGAGGTGAACAGAGGTACCGTTTTGGGCATTGCTTTCACTTATAAATTTGTATTTTTTGCTTCATATTTATTAAAATTGATCAAATTTGGAGGTGCAATTGTTGACCCGGAAAAAGTTCTGCTTTTAGGTGGTGCTTGGCCCCCCAGATATCCTCACTGCGCCCGATCTGGAGCCGCAAACTGTCATCAAGTTGAGGGCAATGCTTGAAGAAGCCGTCGTTCGAGCCGCGAAGCGATGTGCACCAAGATCGGTTCCGTCGGATCGAAGTGACCCAAGGACGATGCGTTCTCGAAGGCCGGAAAGAAGCGAACGGGAGCGTTGCAAACATTGCGGTGGTTCTGGTCATTCCGTGAGAGAGTGTGCCATCTACATACAAGAAATGGAGTTGAAAAGACGACAAGCTGACGTCTCGCATTTTCCCGTCGAGCGACCCTACAACGGACCACTTCTGGGCGCCTTCAACCCGCCCCCAATTATCCAACGCCAAGTGCCATCTCTGATGTCCATACCAGTACCGCTCATCCCGCATAACCCAGTACAACTCATCCACACATCGCTGTCCGCCCCGAAAGTCTACACCGAAGAAGACGTGCTCCGGCGTGTCCGTCAAGAATTGGACGAGAAAGAGCGATCGTTGCAAGAAGACCTTCGCGTCAGCCAATTGATGGAGCAAAAGTTGCGGCTAGAAGCGAAATTGCGTGAGGAGGCTGTTGTTCACGCCCAAAATGAAGCGATGAACAGGATGACACCACTTGGCGGTGCCATCGCGTCATCTTCCGCTCACTACACGACTGCGCCCTTCTTGACGACGGCCCCTGCACCCGCGCCACGCTCGCAAACCAGCAAGGCAGACGTGGATCCGTTGGCCCCGTCCGGAAATAAGATAAACTGGACCTCGCGTCGCGGTCCGAACGGCTACGGGCTTGGCACGGCGTTCGGTTTGCTGTGGGCTGGCCGCAAATTCGTGATCCCGGTAAGCTGGTCTTGGTTTTCGAACCATGAGGGAGCTCCTGGCAGTTGGGAAAGCTTTGCATTACGGGGGGTCTATCTGGGAAGAAGCCAACCTCGTAAACGACAACCGTTGATGCTGTGAATCAACATTTTTCACATATGCAAACCGTCCTCCGATGATGGCCGATTATTTTTGGGCACTAGAAACCAGTTACTTTTAAAAAAATTAGCGTTCCCTCTTGTTCCGAATTCATTATAGCCTTTTTTGGCTTCAAAACTCGGCCTTGTTCCATTTTCCATTCTAGAAATTTTGAGATTTTTCAGAGCATGGCCTGGCTCGATCCGGCAGACCCGTTGGCCCGTGTGCCACGCGTGATATCCGACTGCGAAGAGGTCATCCAATCGCTGGAGCGCAGAATAGAGGTCATTGAATTTGGTTTTTGCATTACCCATTTTTAGACGCAAGCCGATGCTGATCATCTTTCGCAGCTGATGGTGGCCGTGCAAGCGCTCGGCGACCAGGCGAAGAGCTTCAGCGAAGTTCGACAGGTAGGGATTTATTTAGTCTACGAGAAATGCTTTCATTTTCAGCTCGAAATGCTGACGGAACTGCACAAGCTGCTCAAGCAGGCGCTCGACGAGCGGAAGAAGCGCGGCGGCTCGCAACGGGAACGAGATCGTGAACGGGAGAGGGAAAGAGAACGCGAGCGCTCGTCGTCTCGCCGACGACGCAGCCGTAGCCGCAGCAGGACGCGCCGCCGATCTCGCTCGCGCTCTTCCGGGCGCAGTCGTTCTGGCCCCGTCCGCATTATGGTACTGTTTTGATTTTCATCTATATTTTAAAAACCTAAATTAAATTCCCATATTTCTTTTCGACGAGCCAGTTCTCGAAAGTCCTGTTCCGAAAAATTTGTCTTCGGTACGAATAGGGAGAGATGCCACCAGGCGTCGAAATTGCACTTAATTTTGCAAAAATAAAGTGGTTTTCTAAGAACCGAGTTTGTAGGTATGAGTCGTCGAAAAAAGGTTCTGCCTTGACATAACCCTTTTCTTTTAGGTGGATGGGCGCGAGCTCGTCTGCAACACCGAGGACACGATCGTGCAGACAAATGACCGAATCTGGGCCCAAGACATGCACTCGGGCACTTGGGAGGATTGTCGCGTGATGCAGGTATACCTCCAAAACTATATAAAATCCCAATTTTAGGTGCTGCCTCGGCGCAGCGGCGGCTCTGGCGAGAAGCTGGTGCTCGGCATCACGCGCACCGGCAAGCAGTGGACGAAGCTGAAGCGCGAGACGTTCCGCTCGGCCTACTGATGAAACAAGCATAATCACCTAACACTGATCTCGGCCACATTCCCCGTTCTCTCACCATTTGGTTCTCATTTTCGTTGTTTTCAGCATCCCCCATTGTTAGTGTGATAATCGTCCCCTCTTTTCGTTAATTGCAATCAGTTATAGACATCTATTCCACATACTAGTGATTTTGTTGTGTCGCATGGCTACGAATAAAGTTTGATCCCTTCAATTTTGTCTATGAATCGCACATGATATAGAGAATTTCCCGGTAAATACCTCTTATTCGTTTCTTAGTGCTAAAAATTGATTGTGAGCGGTGAGTAGCGAGGGTTTATATTCGATATTTAGTGATGGATGGGTTCCTCGCATCACCTGAAGATCTAACAGAGGAGGAATGTCTAGAATTGTTCTATTTGATTACTGGCGGAATGCTGAAGCGCGCTGCCCAACCAGCGGGTGCGGAACTGGATCTATTTTCTTTGTTTTACCCTTATATCTACGGAAAGCCGCAATTTATAGTGAAAAATGACTTGCTCCATACGAAATTCTATTTTAGGAGTCCACTACTACGCCTTCAACTACCCCGCTTGCTTATTGGGAATCCTGACGCCGGGGTAATTTTTACCTTGATAGACCTCAAAACTTAATTAGGACGGAAGCGCCGAAACGAGCATACACCACCCTGCTGACCCGCTTCATCGAGCTCCACGTTTTGCCGCCAGCCGCAATATCGCTGCTTTTTTACAAGGTCAGCAGTTTCTCGTAGCGATATTTTTGGTTTAGAATTTTTCCGAGTCGCTCGAGTCCGGGTTCCGGGCCCTTCGAAATCTTCTAAACAAGAAACTGGCAGCCTGCCGTGTGCGAGGGCAGCCTTGCGATATTCAGACTGATGGACTCTGCAGGCTACGTGACGCCCAGGCTCACATGCAGGCCTGCAAGGTATTTTGAAAATCGAGTTTCTAGCCCGTTTTTTTTAGAATTTACGCAATGACCTAATGAAGGAGGCGAGCAATTTTTGGAATCGACCACTCGCACTGCCAGCTGGCGTGCTGCAGCCGAATATTGTAAGGATCCGCACCGGCTCTTGTACTTTTTTCAGCCTGAAGAACTACAGCTACCACAGAGCCTCTTGTTCGTATATGGGAATGGTTAGGATTGTTTGAACCATAATAAGGAGTTGATTTATAGCCGCGCCATCAGACCGGGCGTTTTTTAAACGGGACCCGTTTCCGCCCAATGCGATTGAAGCTTCCCTAGCAGATCCTCCCGTCGAAGCAATGTCGGTGAGCGCAGACGAGAGCGACCAGGACATGAATGAGGGTGAAGCTCCTGTCGAACTGGAACAAGCCACGCGCTCACCGGTACTTTTTAATAGCTTAAAAGTGCTTTCAAAGGCCCCGAAATGCCAGCATTTAAATTTTTTATTGTTCAGAATCAACAAGATGACCTCGTCGACGCCACGGGGGCGCTCACAATGGAGGACGATGACAAAGTAAGAATAGCGGCGCATTCTTAATTCTGGTCCTAGGACTTTCTCGTGTTGCCGCACCCCCATTTCGCCGAGTTCTTTGGGGAACTTGCTCGGTTGACGAGCATAAAGATAAGGACGGTCGACACGGAGCATGACGGCAGGCGGTGGCGCAGGCTGCTGGTTGATGGGATCCCGAAGGACGTGCTTTTTGGACTCGGCATTAGTACCGAGGCCGAGGGAATTCGGTAATCGTGAATTTTCGCGAAAGACATTGTTTTTAGGTTCGCTGATGAAAGAGCGTGGGCAGACTTGTACTGCGCGTTCGCCAGGTTGCGCATCATTCCCCGGGAGATCACCGGGCTTGTTCAAGAATCGAAGGTATTTTAAGCGCAACTATCTTGATTACCGAATTTAGGACTGGATGAAGGTGATTGCACGCGCTGTGGCTCCGCTGTTCTCCCAATTAATGTGGCGGTTGTTGCTATGTACGGTAATTTAGGGCGGAAATTATCGTCTCGAAAATGGCCTTTTCATTTTTTTTTATTGGGTTTCGCTAAACCACTCTTCCCTCTTTTTCCCGGGTATGCCGTTTTAACAAATTAAAATTTTATATTTTTTTAAATAATTTTAATTAATAAAAATTAAAAAAATTTAAAAAAATTTTAAAAATTTTAAAAAATGGAAAAAAAAAGATTAAAAAAAAAAAAAAAATTTTTAAAAAAAATTTTTTGTTTTTAGCCCCCAAAAAAAAAAAAAAAAAAAAAAAAACAATCCCCAAACCTATATAATAAAAAATTTTAAAAAAAATTTTTTTTCCCCAAGACCCCCCCAAAAATCAAAAAAAAAATTGTTTTAGCCGGTTTGGAAAATCTGCTAATTAACCATTTTAGCGCTCAACCAGGGTGTCACTGACTACACGCTACTGCGGGACCAAATTCGGAAAATGACGGGGCAACACTGGAGGGAGCACCCGATCATCGCCCCCGCAACCCTACAAATACCTGTGGTATTTTTGAGCGATTTTTCGGTTTACCTGTTTTTTAGTCGCATTCCCCGACAAACGTCAAGATCGTCAAGCCCCCACCCGGACAGTCCCCGCCCGAATACGACCGGACCCGCGACGATAATGCTCGCCATTTAGCTCAGGTAAAATATTTTTATTCTTCTTTAAAATCTTCTTGAGGTGTACGAGGAGCTGGAAGGGATCCGTGCCGAGCGCGCGTCGCTCGAAGAACTGCGCGCGCAGACGATGCTCGAGCTGCAGAAGATCGAGGAAGAGCTGGCGATGATGGACTAACGAGCATCTTTTCGGTATATTTCATTTTTGTTGAACAGATTATCATGTTAACCTCAATCCCGATTTTCATCTTTCTCGTACGGGCTTTACAGTTTACGGTTACCTTGAATGTTCGCATAATACTTTGATCGCCCTTTGTTAGTTGTTGAGAGATTACGCTCATTATTAATTTTATCTCCTGTCTTTTGTAGTTTCACATCTCATTTCTGGCTTTTATGGTTCTTGGCTTGAAAAGTTTTTGATTCTGTTTATTATCTATTTACAATGATGAGAAAATAAAGTTTTCCTTATGATGAATCCTTTGAATTGAAACGCTAAATGGACAATTTCATCAACCGGTAGAAGATTCATACGTTTTTAGGGCTTTTTTTCAGGTTGTTTTTCCGGAACATCTAGTTACACCCAGTTTTCGGTGGTACATGCCTGTATCCATCCGGAAATAGGAGCGCCGGGCTCACGTGTATACTGTCGATTTCCGGGGCCTTTCATCGATGACAGACAGCGGCTCGCCAACCGTTTTGTGTTTCTCTATGCCGGTGGATAGGTCGGAAAGGGATTTTTGCCGCGGGTTGACCCTCGCCGGCCGGTCCCCCACCCCGATTTTTCGAGGCGTCCATTTTTCTGGGGGCTCCCCCACTTCAAGGTCACCCGGCCACGACCTGCCAAATTTGGGGTAAGGAGGCTCGATGCCGTGGTGTTCACTACGCAAAACAAGCCACATTTTATTGCTGGCTTGCTGGTGGTTAGCATTCCTTGAGGGTTCTTAAAAATGGGTTAACAATTAGCCCGCTGCGCTCCATAGGCTCCGAATTTGATTGGGCTTCCGGCTTTGTCCGATTTTCCGCTTTTGGCAACTAGAAAAATTTGTTAGTTACAAAAAAAACCGTGTAGTCCGTCCAGGGACAAGAAAGGGCTACTTTTTTCAGATATTCTTGTCTCCCAAACGTTCCACAGCATCGATTTTCGATTTTCCACAACTTTTGGCCCTCCCGGCACCTTGTCTTCTCGTCGAAAACACACTGTTTAAGCCAGCATCTTTCCAAAACTTCGGTAGAACCCGGAAAAACCCCGCTTCCATCGGGGCCTACTTTTTGCCTGGTCACGATTTTATCAGCTTCCGACCACTATAGTCGTGATGGGCTTTTCATGAAAAGCAGCTGTTGGAGCCCAGGTTTTTGGCGATCCCACATTTTGGCTAATTGTTGTTGGTCTGAGAATTACTTTTAGCGAAAGCTATAGCTTCTGGTTATTGAAAATGGCTTTTATTGCGCTGGCTTTTTCGTAATTTTTAGGCTCCAGTTGACTGAATACTCGTTTTTGGCAGGAAATCGCCTTCCAAAGTTTTGCTTTCAAAACCGAAGTGTTTCCGCTTCGAACACAACAAAATCCGCATCCTTGTTTTTAAGGATGCGTCCTAGCTCTGAACAGCTTTATACACAAGCCCCCGTAAAATAAATTGCCCAGCCAGCCAGCAGTGGGCTTTGTCTGTTTTCGAGGGCCCATATGTTCGTGCTGATCGGGCGGTCAGCACTTTTTTGTCAATCAGCCGCTAACCCGGGCGGGCCCGCTACAAATTTTAGCGTGCACAAAAAAATTCCAGGGGAACTCTGCGACCAAAAAGGTTTCCCATTTTGTGCCCAAAAATCCCGCGCAAATGGCACGTTGACGGATGGGGCTGGTAATTGAGGTGATCCAAGATCTTTTTGGGCTGGTCGGGTGATTTTTCTGAACCTGTTTGAGTACTGTGGTGATCTTTTGGATCTTCGAAATCAGTTTTAAGTAATTTTTGGGCATTTTTTATGCTAGCTTTCGCAGTAGTATGTTATGTCTTTCTTGGTTTCAATAGCTTTATCCTCTCCTATCTCTCTCCCTCTCTCTCTCTTCTCCCTCTCCCTCTCTCTCGCTGTGTCTCTCTCTCGCTCTTTCTCGCACTCTCTCTCTCTCTCTCTCGCTCGATAAGTTTAATAATTTCTAGGCAGGCAACGAAGGACATGTGGCAAATCGAGCACCCGTACGTCCCGTTCGACTATTGGGCCAAGGAGAACTTGACGTGCTGCCAGAAGACGCATATCAAGGTATCGAATTTTTGCTAATTCATGAATTTAAAAATAGATATGACAAAGAAATGAGGGCTTTTTATAAAACGCCCCGTTTTAGCGCGCCGCCTGCTACGTGACGATCCTCACGTTCTTATTCGCCATCTGCCATGGCGCGGAATATTTTATGAAAGTCTATTTCGATGGGAAGGCGGTGAGTTTGGAACGGAAAATCTGCAAAATTTGGGAAAGCACGATTTTTGATGAGAAATAGCCAATTTTCGATGCCTGTGAAGAGTCGATTTAATTCTACCTTGGCTTTTGTAGTCTCTAGTTTCAGCTAGCAATGTTTTGAACCTTTTTTTGGCGATCGTAAAACAGTATCTGCCTGGCCGGGACCGCATTCCTTTTTGCACCAATCGTTTCCACTCGAGCGCATGTTGAGCCCTGCGAACCGGGTGGTCAAGGTTTTCTGCGGGTTGCAGAAAGTGACGTGCCGGTTTGGCCGAACCAAAAAGGAATTGCGAGTAGAGCGCAGAGAGCAATTTGTTCTGTTTGGGAGAATATTAAGCCTAGAATTCCTAAAAAATTTTGAAAAAAAGCTAAGGTTTTTTCCCAACATACGAATACGATTATAACGCTCAGAACAGGCTTAAAAATTTCTCAAAAAGGTTTACAAAATCTAAAAAGACATTTTCAAAGTCGTAAGACCTAGAGCACCTTTTTTTAGCTCGTCTTCTTCCCCCTACTGCTCGTCTGCGGCCTGATTCTCGTCTATGGGCTCTGGACGGAACATCCGAACATCCTCATTTCATATATGGTCCTGGTGGTGGGTAGAGTATTTTTTTAAAGCGACATTGTCAGCAAGAAGTTCAGCTCGGAAACTTGAGAAAAGCTGAAAATTGTATTCTTTTAAGGCCGGGCTGCTCGTGGCGCGGATGGTGACAGTGACGCGTGTTTTGATCACGCTTTTCGATCCGAAATCGAATTGGTCATTGGAGCCGACGTATCGGTAAGTTAAGATTAAGCCTAGAAAGACTTGTAATGTCAAGTTATAGTTAAAATGGGCGGGAAACCCTCAAATTCATTCGAAAAAAGGTAAAAACAAAACCTGGAACTTCATGGTTATCCCGCCGGCATGTAACGCGACCGCGGCGCGTTCAATTAGCCGATAGAACAGCTTTATCCCGTTTTTTTTCAGCGCATTTGGTGTTGCCGATGAAAAGGGCGAAACTGTAACATCCTACGCGCTTTTCCACCTTGGTTATGCCATTTTCTTCATCGTCGTCTACGTGCTGTTCATCTACATTGTGGACAAGTGAGTTCTAGAAAAACCAAAATTGTGAGATAGAGATAGATAGAGAGATAGATAGAGAGAGAGAGAGCGACAGAGAGCTAGAGAGAGTGAGGGACACAAGTGAATGCAAGAAAAAAGCAAACACGTAAACCCCTTCCAGATGCCGCCGCTACTTCATCCGCCTCGACGAGTTCAAGGAGACGCAGGCGCACAATCTCACCTATAAGCATTAATTTGTTAATTTAAAATACTAAAATCTTAGTTTGATTTGTCGATCGAATTCCTACATTTAAAAAAATACTTAATCGGGCAGATATTCAGGCATTTTCTCTTCGATTGCTGTGTATAGTGCATGTACAAGAGTTGTGTGGTTGAAAATAAAGTTGTTTTTCAATTGAAAAGCTAAAAAGAAGATGGAAAACTACAAACTACAGGCTACACAAGACTACATACCATGCGGGCAAAGGGTTACAAAGTACGACAATCGACCAAGGTCAGGCAAGCTAGCAGCGATTCTTGAGGAAAAGGGAATCTTGAAAACGTGGGCTTAATGTTAGGATCACGCTATAAACTACAAAGGCTTCGACGGGCGAAAAGAGGGAAAGCTAGCAAATATTCTTGAGGAATCGTGTGGTCGCACATTAAATTTCTATATTTGTAAAATGTGGAAAATGATAATGTCGGCTTTTTAGAGCAGTATTTAACATCACGATCCTGCCTTCCAGTCCCTCTAAAAACTCAAAAACCAAAAGACAACAAAGCGGCTTATCGATAGCTTGTTGTTTTTCCGGGGCCTCAAAACCCGGGTACACCCGAAAAATCGTGATTGACAAGACGGGTGCGATGTTTTCTTGTTAGAGACAGTGTGAGGATCAGAGAATGAGAGTGATTGGGGCCCTGAGGGGGGGGGCGTGGGCTCTTCCTTGAGCCTCAGCTCCTCCTCCTCCCCGCCGGCTCTTGCTCTGTTTGATGAGTCATTGGACACAAACATGCCCCCTAGGGTTCATTTCATAACTTGAGGTCGAGCTTTTTGGAGGTGTTCCTGGTGTTGGTACTCTCGCTCTCTGACTAATGGTCTTTTTCCCGGTCGGGCTCGTACAAAAGTTAGTCATAAAGCTCGTGGGGCTCATTTTCCTCATTTTTTTCATAGTAACGTGTAACTTGAGGCTTGAGCACCAACTTTTCGCGGTACAAAACGAGCTCGTGCAGCTTAGAAAGCCTATTCGTCCCTTAGAAGCTTTTTAGAAGCTGATGAGCTCAAGCTGATCATTTGAGGCTCAAGCTCGAGCCGTGTTTCTTAACTGAATTGGTTAACAAAAACTAAAAACCGAAATTCATAAAAAGTATGAGCTTTTTGCTAATTTACTGGTCAATTTCGAACGTCCGGATTTAATTATAGCTTTTTGAAAACTATATTATCATGAAACACGCTAGTAATTGTCTCTCCTTACTTTCATAGATGATTTTTATTAGCGCCAAAAAGTTGAGAATACCTAAAAAATTTTGAATTTAGCTTCCTCGCCATCTTCTATCTGCTTACACAGAAAATGGGTATTCGAATAATTCTGGACGACGATAAACCGGCGTAAGTTATTAAAGTTGATTTACGCTATATAAAACTTTACAAACTCTTTGTTTTTAAACTTCAAAACTTATATTTTTAGAGAAAACCTTGAATGGGCCCCACCGCTACGGGTAATTTCCATTGTCACTTTGTTAGCAGCCACCCTCGATTTGTTGGCAGATTTTCTAGTTTGTAACAGGTCTGAAGGCTGAATTTTACTGTTTATAGCCTAACGTTTAGAATAGCAGAATTCCTGCCACTT